GCAACTATTCGGGGGTGTGCGGCTGGTGAGGCCGGCGGGACCCACCGCCTCGCCGCGGGGAGCCCGGCCTGGGGGGGAGGTGGAAGGCGCTGGGTCCGCTGCGGCAAACCCCTCGCCCGGGAGGTGGTGCGAGGCGGCTGGTGCTGCAGCGCGACGGCAGCGCCTCGGCCCTCAGCCGGGGGAGGGGCCCCGGACCTTGACGGCAGAAGTGGTGGAGCTGGCAGAAGCCGCTGCACCGAGCTCCCTCCTGAGAAAAAAAAGAGCCTTTTGTGGCGTGGTTCTGACCGTTCTGAAATGCAGAAGTTAGCAGGTGAATGCGGTGTATCGATGATGTGAATCATCTTTTAGCATATATAGTAACAAGTGCGTGTGACTCAGCAAGCTGGAGGGGCAGAAATACGTAAATTGAGGATGTTCTAGAAGCCATATGTAATGTGTTTGAGATCCTTGCCTTCTTTGAGGAATTCCTTTTTTGTATCAGTCCTGTGTGCTAGTTACACCGGTGTTAGTTCAGAGTTTTTACAGACGACTTGTCCAGTGGCTGAGTGCTTGATCAAGTGTAGAGTCACAGTTTCAAAGGATGTCATAGAATTATATGGTTGTCAGCTTCTCCCCTTCAGTCCCGAGTTTGCTTTCTTAGTGTTTCTACTTCTGTTGATACATGAAATACATGCAGATCTACTCGCTAAGAGGGCATAAACTGTTGACAGAGCTCTGATATATAAAAGTATAATCAAAACCCATCATGCTCACTTCTAAATGTATTTTAAAAGCCTTATTAAAACAGCGACTCACTGAAAGCTACTGCAGGTAGTATTTGTATTTCTAGATCATTTTTCCTCACTTGACATGACCAAAATAAGTTATGAAGGCAGAGAATTTTTAGAAGGCTGATGCTGTTCCTAGACAGTAGTCTAGTCTGATAATATCGGTAATCTGACTTGCTTAATTCTGTTTTCATCCTTATTAGTGTGTACTGCTGACTTTGGTCCTTACTTTCTAAAGCCTTAGGTTTTATCACAGTTACTCTTGCATTTCTCAGAAATTTCCCCTCTGAGACACCACTTCCAATGGTTTCTGGCTTGGGAGGGAGAGAGGATGGGCTGAGACTTTAGAATATGTAAAACCATGCTAACTGGCAGTTGCATTCATTTTGGGAAAAGTTTTCTCACCACTTTCATCTACGGGGAGTGCAGCATTGTATCGACTTGTTGCAGTTCTGCAGCAGTTGGCACGCTGTGCATTCTCTGGTGTGTCTGTCAGTATTGCCATTTTGGCTGCCTTAGAGCAAGGCATGTTCGGGAGCAGCTGTGATGAGAGGATGAAGGGGTCCAGTCCTTGTTTGAAAGCAAAGAAATAGATTTGCATCTAACCAGAACGCAAGTATATAAGCACATCTAATGGCTGTGGGTGTGATTTGAGGAAAGCTATGGGAAGCTTTGAAAATAGGTGACCCTTTTGGAAAGGCTTACCTTCACCTAATTTGTAGCAGTAGATAACTGGTGGCTTTATCTGTGTAAGAGTGAGATATGCCCTTTTGACCCTTAAACAAGCTGCTGAGTCTCCTGACCTTTTAGGAGAGCAATACCTTTTATCAGACTCCCTTATGGATTTCTTTGATTAGATGTAACTTTTGAAGTCTTAAGTGCATAAAACTATAGTGAAACTTCTATTCAATGGAGTTCAGCCTCAGTAAGACACTCCTGTTTGGCCAGAGAGGTACAAAAAAGTGGACTTTCATGCATTGTACGCAGGCTGAGCATGTGTTTAACATGACTGTACAGAATTTTGAGCTTTGTCAGGTATTTTCTGTATGTGTTTAGTTCTTATTTTAATGAAAATCTACAGCAGAGTCTTAGAAATGGTGTCTTTTTTTTTTTTTAAACCTGTCTAGCACAGTTTAAGTGAAGCCAGAAGTGTAGTTGGTGTAACCAACCAATGTTGTGAATTGCATCTGAAATAGTCTGGCTTTGCTCCTTGTTTGATATCCTTTCCATCTGTCTGTTTTTTCTACCTTCATGGTTCAAAGTTACTTCATGTCTCTTGTCTCTAAACATCCTTTTTTGGCTGCCTGCCAAGCCACCTGGTTCTCTTCTGTCTTTCCTGAGCATATTGTGCAGCTGCTGTTTTACCCGATTTTCTTGAGATTTCTTTTTCCTTCTCAGTTGTTGACTTTGAATATGTAGTCCAGCCCTCCTCCTCTGTGTCATCTCCCACTCAATACATACATGTTGTCTACTTCTTGGTAGCCTTTTTCTCTAGCAACCTTTACTACTTCCTCACTGCCTTGTAAAGAGAATCCAGAAAATATTTGAAAGAGCATTTGAGGGGGTGTCAGGTTAGGACTAAGAACTGCATTTTAGCCACTGCATGGATCTACCATGGATTCCTGGAATCAAAGCTTGCTGCAAGGTAATGATAAATACTTATGTTTTGGGTGTTCTGAAAAACTTTGTGAAGAAAATGACAATGTGACAGGTACTACTATTTAAATTCTAGAGTTAGTGCCATGAGTTCTGTAGCATGCTACAAGTAAAATTGCTTACTTAAATCTGTGCTACCTTGTCCCTTTACTGCTATATTTGGATTGTATGTTTTTGAAAGTTCACTCTTTAATGGTGAGGCAGACAAGTTTTTTCAGTAGAGCTGATTTACATTTGTTTGGCAAGTACACCAAAGGTTTCACTGTTTCTTTCCTCTGATAGAGGAAGAAATAATAGGGAAAAATCTAGTGAAGGAGGGAAATTTGAAATCTTACTGATGAACATACTGATAGTGAAGAGGAGGCAGAAAGACAATGTAGCAGAAGAAATGGGGATTGAGTAGACTGGTGTTCTTCACAGGCTACTACAAGTCAAAAAACTTAGCTTCTCTAATCTAGTAACTGTCTAACTTGATAAACCTGTTGAAAATCAAGTCTGGGACTTTTTCCTGGAAGAGCGCCATTGTAAAACTAATTATATGAAAAGCCAGCAAGCATGTATAACCCATGAGTGATTGAAGCAAAGGATTCCCTAGTTTGTCTCCTACCTGGTAAGATTCTGAGGGTGACTTTGGTTTTGACAAATACACGAGTAATTTCTTTATTTTAAAGAACTGCTTTAATTTGTAAACTTCAAAATTGAAAACAAGTCCCTAAGAATGATGGTATAAGACTTTCATCAGTGATGTTGTAGCACAGGTAAGGGGTTAAATCTTTGTAGCTGTGATTCCAGCTCTTAATTCAAACTTAAGGTTTTATACTCACTGCATGGTTTTAGGCTTATTCTGCTGTCTTCTTGTTTGTGCAACCAGGTATACCTGACAGGACTCCAGCATTGCTTTCTAGAAGTCCTGAAAAAAATTAACAGAAGTCTGCATCTTACCGTAGTTGCAGTTTGTTCACAGCTTGAGCTGTAATTTGCATCAACAGATCCTGATGTTGAACTCTGCATTAAGAAGCATGAAGCTGCCAGGTTTTTTTCATTGAAGCCTTATATGTCAAGAGTTATGGGTGCCATTGGAAAACTGTTTTTCATGTTAGAGTTGATCAGCTAATTGTACTAAAAGGATGATTAGTATGCCTCTAATTTGTAGAAAATTAAACGGGTGCTTATCCAAGTTAGCTGATAAGCTTGCCTTTCTCTTGACAGAGGTGGCCTCAGCAACATGCTGTTTCAGTGCTCGCTACCTGACACCATTGAGACAGTTGCAGATGAACCACGGAAAGTTCTCCTGCGCTTATATGGTGCAATCCTGCAGATGGTGAGTATGTAGAGTGCTTTGGGAGTGGGAGGGTCCCTGGAGCTTAATTGTGATATGTTTGGAGATCTTCATTTGTGACACACTACAAGTGTGTGCTGCTTTATCCTTTTGGGAATGTGTTTTAGTGGTACTGGGGTAGATTGCTAGCCTAAAGCAGTTTTCTTCATAGCTTGTTATTGTCTAGAACTTACACTCCTTTCTATACAGATCCTGACTGGTGTGTATCAGCTGAAGGCTCATTTGCTGTCTGTCTGATTAGTAATGTTTTGTTTATGTGTTAAGTTTGGACTGTGGTGTTTCAGAAGAGTTATTAAAGTTTGCTTCTGTACAGTATGTAGGACTTTGGCATAACTAGCAAGATTGCAAGAGACTAAACTGCTTAATCTTGGTAGCATTTAAGAATCTTGGAGATTAAAGTTGAAGCTATTGTCAAACTTGTACAATTCTCAAGCATTTTATTAGATCTCATGGGTAATTGTGTTGCTGGGAAATCTGATTTATAGTGTTAGAATAAAAATGAAGCACAAACATCAATACCGTACAGCCATCTCATTCCTAAACATGCTTTCCTAAATGTGTGATATGCCTTGTAACTGGCATAGAAGCTTAGCCAGATGTTTGTCGAACTCTTCTAATGTTACTTTTATTTGGTTAATAAAGTGTAAATAGCATTGAAATTTGCAAACCTTAAGAGAAGTGGTTGGCAAATGTTTCAAATTGTAAGATTTAAAATCAATACTTTCTGAAGGTGATTTCTAAAGCTTACTGGCTATTACTGTAGGAGTGAACAGCAGATCTTCTTACCCATCTCTGCTAGACACTTGATTATTTTGTAAATAAATATTCATAAGTGTTTAACCTCATGAAAAATTGCAGCTTCATAAAATTACATTTGGATGTTGACAATTGTTCCTATTTGAGAGGGTCTTGTTTTATTATCCATTAATTTGATATCTTCCAGTACTCTGTCACTTGCTTCGAATAACTGATCCAATATCTGCAGGAGATTGACTGTTCCTGAAATTTCAGCCCATTCTTCCTGCTTCTACTGCCTTGACCAAACTTACTGTTAAAAATCTCATTGGATACTGTCATTTAACTGGCTTTAAAGTGTTCTTTTATTATAGTATGGGAGGTATTAACTTTCCTGTGGTACCAAACTTTACCAGAAATATGTAAAAGATTCCAGTGGTTTGAAATAGCATGAAATGCTTGGCTGCACCACTGTATGTGTTGGGAAAGTTAAACTGTTAAATAAGTGTGTAGAAATTCATTAATTCAAGCTTAAATAGTCCTTAGGTTAAGAGAAACCAAAATCAAAGTGAAAAAAAAGGTGGTGAGAAACTTTGTTTTTGAAATTACTCCTAGGGTTGATACTAAGATTTTTTTTTTTAGAAATAATGGCTTTAATATGCTGACTGAATATGTAGAAGGCTTGAGTAGGAACATGGGCTGTAAAACTACTATAGTGGTAGAACGTATGTTGCCCTAAAGCTGTGAAGAAATGTGGCCTTTCCCTCATATTTCAAAGGAAAAGTAAATTAGACTCAGATATGGTTGCCCTCCTCTTCCCTCAGGGTTTTTTTTAACTTGCCTTTTCTGTGCCCCTATCCACTGAAGAAATCAAAATAAAATTTTGGGCTTTAAAATCAGAACTAATTTGGTTTGAAAATTGAAAGTGTGTTCATAACTTTCTAACCTTTCTACTCTTGGTGTTGAAGGATCTTTTGAGATGTCTAACTTCCTTTATTTCCATAGTGGCAGTGAAATGACTGCTCTTGTTGGTGCAGTTCACTAAAGGTTAAGTAAGCAGAGAAAGTCCCAAGGTAAAACTTTCAGATTGCATTGAGGTTCACAATTTTTGTCGACAAACATTTGTCTCTTCCAGCCCCTCTACCTTAAATGCAGGTTAAAATATAAGCAAACTGTTTTATTGGGGTATTTTGAAAACTTCACTTAGGATTCTTATGAATTTCTGGGTGGCATAAGCAGAATCTTATGACGAGCCTGTTAAGATGGAGTAATTTGATATTTTTTCAGTAATGTTGCTTAAGTCTAAAGCCCTGTAGAAATTAAGGGATGCTGTTTAAGTTTTGAGACCTTATGCTAAAATTGTGACTTAATTCTCAATGACTTAATTGTAACTGCCACTGGGTATTAGTAGTTACCACTTGTTTGTTTGAGCCTTTGTAGCATGTTTTAACTCTTGTCCATTTTACTTTCTGTTGAAATTGGAGCACAAACCAGTGATAATATCTGCTCTTCTTATTCCTTTACTATAAATACTATAGATCTATAGCAATCTGTACCAAATTGTTGTACATACCGAAGACAAGCTTAAGTTAAATTTCTGACTAGAAGTGAGAAACAGATACTGATACTAATGTAAGAGTGAATGGTACTGGCACCATAATTCTTTAGAGCCACCTTTTAAAGGAACCTTCTTTACTGTTTGAAAATAGCCCCAGTTTGCTTATTATGAATCTTGGAAGACACAAATGTCAGTACATGAAACTCATCCAATATAAACCATGCCAGTTGGCTAAAGCTGCCACACAGGGAAGGCTTTGTGCCTTCCTCTGTCATAGCTGATGTGTTTAAGCCAATTTTTTGTGTGCATGACTGTTTTGGGGGGAGCTGGGGGGGAGCTGAACTGAGCTGGCTCGGCCATTATTATGAATGGTCGCACTGGCATGGATGTTTAAAAATCAAGGACTTCTCTTGAGTATATCCTTGAGCAGAACTTTTTTTTTTTAAGACAAGTATTTGTGCTTGTGACAGGTTAAAGTACTAACCACATTAAAACTCAAATGTTTGAGGCACAATGCAGATATGTTTTACATTGAAAAATGGGAAATGTCTTACTCTGCTTCACTTATTCTTGCTCCAGCTTAGTTGCTAAATTTAAAGGGGAGCATTGAAAGTAAAACTTCCTCATGTCAAACTGTCTTTAACTGTTGGCTATTATCAGTGTTAAAACAACTGAAACAAAAGGTTCTCCAACAATATGCCATTTAATGTCCAGACTTTAAGATTGGATTTCATATGCAGATCACTGTAGTGTTTCTACTTAAATTTAGAACAACCAAAACTTCCTGCATCTTAGAAATGCTGATAGGATTTCAACATAAGATAGCATCCAAAAATAATTGAGGTGAATTTCTTCAAAGCTCACCTATCAAAAGGTAACTTGGGGATTGATTCCCATTCTTTTACACATGTCAAAAGAACCTTGAACTCTGATTCACTGGGGCTTGTTACTTTGCAACAGCCAAAACAAAATCTTATATATAAATGAGGAAAACCAAACCAGTATATCTAATGTTCCTCTCTGGTCTCTCAATTTCTCTGTGAGCAGATGCAAAATAAATATAAATGGTTGCCACAGTTCTGTGGTAAATCTCTTTCCATACCTGCCTTGCTGCCTTTTATTTATTTGTAACTAAATAAAATGCAGACTGCTGTGTAACTGTAATTATCAACGTCTTCTGTGGTTGTTGGTGTCCATGTCTGTTTGTAGCATGGAGTAACTACAAATCCCTGGCACTGGCAGACGGCTTGAAAGAAACCAAGCACCTCTTATGGGGATATATTTGTGTTGGGTGGAGTTAAGGGTATTCTGGGGGTAATGTACCACTTTAGTTGTATATGCATGTGTTCTCTGCTGCAGGCTTGCCCATGCGATCGTGCCTAGAGCACTCTGGTTTCCAGGTGACAGACACGATTCACGGTATAGTATGAGATCTCTGAAGTCGGAGCATTCTCTACAGCTTTCATTTTCTTTAGTACTGGATTTCATTGTTTAAAAATAAGGCTTAAGTAGCACCAGCTACTGTCTGTGCATCTGAATGTTTACAGCCATAACAAAATACCAAAATACTGCCCCTTCCTTTCCTCTGCTCCCTCATGAGAGAATGGTAACTTGAAATGAAGAGGATTAGAGATGTCTTTGTGGCTTTTGTAGGGATTGAACCAGGAATTATTCTTCATATGCTAGGTTGTAGGACTTCAGCAAATTAGTATCAGTTGCTTCAGGTCTGGCAGGAATCAGCGATCAACGGCAGATTCTTAGAAGTAGAAATAGTGCTGAATCTAAAACTGTTTGTCTTCCCATACCTTGACATTCAGATCAATGTCTTTCAATAGCTTATAGAATTAAGAAAAGTTTCACCTGCATATGTTGCCTCTAACCTCTCAGATAGTTCCTTGTAATGTTGTAATTCCTGGGGATTTGAATTCCTCAGGATTTGCCTAAATCAAAGTATTTATTGAAAATTATTAAAGCTAAATACACTCAGAAAAATGGAGTTATAATGTAAGATTTAAATCTGTGGGCAGCGCTAAGGATTATTTGTGAAATAAAGGTGCAAGTTCCTCCTCTATACAGGATTTTCTGGCCAAGCATCATTTGGGATTTTTTGATACAGCTTTTCATCTTCCAGCTACAAGAGAAATTGGGGCATTAGGGAGGAAGTGGTGAAGAACTCAATTTTTGTGTCAAACTGCCAGATGTATAAACACTGTCTGGTCATCTTCTGATCACAGATCAGATAATGTGCAATGTCTCCCATTCTAGGACTTTCATCCTGTACCTGAAGCTTCCTGCCTTAAAATCAATTTACATGATCACAAAGTAGACTCTATAACAACTTCTGTTGTCTCTGTGCATACAGCTGTCCTCCCTTCCTAAAACTGTAGCGAGCTTTCTTAACCTGTTCTAAGAATAAACCTTCCCACAGTAAAAGAAACACCGAACAACTATTTAAAGAAATAATAAAGATGTGGGACATGTGTCCATTTCTAGTTAATATTTCTATGGGGAGTGATTAAAAACCTCCAGCAGTTACTAGTCATTCTCTTATTGTGGATAATTAAAATCTCCTCATTGCTGTTGAGGTCAGTAGCTCCCAGAATTGGACATAAGTTGGAGTGAGCTGTTAGAGTGCATGGTAAAAACAAAGTTTTGATTGGTTTAGGTAAGAACACAAGTGAAATATGTAGCTCAAATACCTCATGGTATGAGATGTTTCACTTTGAACTACTGTTCTCATAGGTGATTGTGTGGTCAAAAAATGATCAAACCCTACCACTTTAACATCAGTTAAACTCTTAAACTTCTGTTACATAAAATTGCATCCTGCTTACTTCATTCTCCTTGACCACATGTACTGGTGACTTTACTAATTCTAGGCTGAGCACATGGCCACTTGTGAAGACTGATCCTCTCCAAGCTCCCATTCATATTTGCAAGTTATTTACAAACTACTTTGTATTCATTCTCCTCTGGACACTAATGCTCCATGCTGAGGGAACAGAAAAGAGGAAGGGATGCTGCAGAAGTCTCCTTTTCTAATGACTCTGCAGTACACATCCCTAACTGTCTCTTTCTAATGGCACAGTAGATGCCATTAGACTATCTCCAACACTAATTTGAGGTGGACTCGTAGAACTGGCTAGCTCTTTATGCAGTATGACTTCTGGAAAGTGGATGCCAGTTCAGGTTCTAGGGAAAAGCCTAATCTGCTTACCTTCTGATGAGCTGAACCATTCTGAGAGCACCATTAATCAGGAAAGACTCCTGGATGGTGAGTAACTTTCTGACTGTTCAAGAAAAATCTGTAAGATGCAAGAGTGGTATTGATGTAGGACATGCCTGTTCAGAGAAGCCCTTTGTAAATGACTTTAATACTATTGAGTAGTAATGCAATTAGCTTTAGTGAATATGTTTTGACTTTATTAATTTCCTTGAAAGGAATATAAACTAATAGTAGTTTTCATATTGTCTTGTTTTAAACTTACTATCATAGTGGAATGGGAAGTACTTGCTGAAAGACCATCGATTCATGTTAACTATACTTCTTCTATAGCTTCTGAAATACTGTAACTGCATAGCTTGTGTAAATCATTAGCTTGTTGTACTGTACTTAAGGCAGCTGGTGTTGCTTAACTGTGTTCCATTAAGTTCATATTTCCACCCTTGTTTTGGACATGTTAGAGCTTTGGAACAGAACGGTATGCACATGGTTCTATGAATCAAGCGTTTTTGTTCAGAAGGTGGAGATGCAGGCTACCTTTATGGGCCTCTAAAGCTAGTCTGGTTTAAACAGTCAACGGTGGAATTGCAACATAAATAGCAGCCACAAACTGTCACTAATTCTAAGCAAATATTTGCTTTCTCTTCTCCTTACCTTCAAGCCCTTTAAAGGACAAGGTTTTTATTACATCTTGAATTTTAAATGTGCACTCTATTAAAAGCATGTGCCATTGAAGGTTCAGTTGCTGAGGGTATGGTTTGATACTCTGAAACTGCCTTATAAAGACTGTTAACAATCCTAGAACAATACATTTTGCATGGAATTTGTTAAAGTTTTGCTAGTATACTGCAGTTCTCACTGAGACATCTTTACACGGGCAGCTCATCTGAAGAGAAATCTTGGATTTACATGGCCAGTGGGACATTGTCCATATAGCCTAGACAGCATGCTGTAAATAAGGATATTCTAGTCACAAGAAAATTGGAAAATAAGGTAATGGAAAAAGAGCAAGTGCTTTGCAAGCTTCATAACATGCCTCTTGTAATAGTCCTTGTAAGGCTTTGATGTACTCTCTGTAATGTATCTCAAGTGCTTTAGCTGTAAGAAGAATATCCCAGATGTCATGCAGAGGGACTTAATTGTCTCTTAATTAAAAATGTTCCTCTAAGCTTATCATACATTCAAATCTTCCTTTGAAATACTAGGAAACAATAAAAACATACCTGAAAAATCAGCTCTCAGGCTATTTACAGGAGTGGCTTTGTCTCAGTGGCACATCCTTTTGAAAGACTTTGGGACTGTTGAAATAGTGTGGTGGTCAGGTCAGATGGATACTAGTGCTGTAGCTGTCACAGATCAAGACAGTCTTGAGACATCTAGTTAATTGTAGCTGGCACTTCTACTCCCTTTGTTCTGGTGGTTGCAGATTAATCATGTTAAATTTCATCTTCTCATTGTGTTTGCTTTTTCTCATTCATAGAGGTCCTGTAATAAAGGAGAGTCTGTACAGTCTCAGAAGGAAAATGACTTGCAAGTGAGTAAATTCGTTTATTTCACAGAATTTTATAGGTGATAGAGGAATGTGGTGATCCTGCTTGTTCTAAACCAGTAGTTACTCCACCTGGTGTCTGGGCTGTTTCTAGAAACCATAAACAGTAATGAAGAAAATAAATCTACTCATAGAAGTAACACCGTAATGTGGGTGTCTACATATTTTGGAAAGATTTAAGCATTCCACATTAAGAAACACCCCCATTCTACTCTAAAAGGTTTATTACCATTTCTAACACTTCTATCAGTACCACTATTTCTCATACTAGGCTCTTCCTTTAGTAGAGGAGAATCAGTACACTGCCATATCTAATCCCTATTTTGAGGCAAGTATATGAAGCTAGAGACAACTTTCTCTTGAACACAATTTTTTCTAATATAGCCTTGTTCTTGGATCATCTGTTCTGTAAACTTTAAAGTTCTTGCATTTGGAAGCATTTCTGCTCATGCAGCATAATGTGTAGTTCAGTGTAATTTTTCATAAAGTCATCTGAACAGAATTTTGTAATGTAGATTTCTACCCTGGCAGTATTTTTTCAGTAAGGGATAACATTGCAGCATGTTAGCCAGATGTTTTGCTTGTTACGTACTATCATTTTTCAGCTCTGTAATGGTTTTGGCAGTGAGTGGAGAGAAGTATGTTTTATTCGTTTGATAAGTGCTGCTTTTCTCCCCTTGTATTTTCTGCCTACTGGGAATGCCATCTGAAACAGTTCAAGCATTTGTGCTTTTTCTAGTGAGTTTAAACTGGTTTTAAAATTTCTGTTGTTGAATGACTGCTTTTGAAGTTTTGTTGAACTTTCAGTTAAGTTTACTGGAACAGCTTCAATCAGTTGAACCATGACTGAACTGAAAAATGTACTGATTTGATTCCTCAGTTTTCTTTAAGAGATGAAAAATGGAGGTGGCTTGATTTCTCCCCTGCCCCAAGCCAGTAAAAAAAAGTTCCTAAAGTTATAAAAGAAAATAAAAATGCAAAAAAGCCCCACCCTGCTGCCAGCAGCTCATAGAAGTTTTGCAGTACAGGAAGCAAGGCTTTGAACTTCAAAACAGTCTTTGTTGCCTGAAAATATTGATTCTATGCTGATAGGTTTTTGTTTTCTGCTATTAATTCCATAGTGCTGGAACTTCACTGTTTGATCAGTGTACTTAAGAATTCCTGTCAGGATGGATTTGTTGATTTTCTTGAGTCCAGGTAAAAATTGTAGTTAAGTCCTCAGAGGAGTTAATGTCACCCTTTGGAGAGAAGAAAAACTTCTGGGTAATCCTGAAATGTTCTGGATCCCCAGCAAAAGCATTGTAGCTGCACTGAGCTGCCTGGTGTTTGACAGCTGTGACTAGAGATGGGATAGTCTTCTGTCAGCTCAGGGTCTTTTAGCAGGGATTATCTGTGTTTTACCTTGATTTTTTTATAATTATGGGTAATTTTTCTCAATATTACTACTTCAGGTATTTTATAGTAAGGTTTTTGTTGAAGCAAGAATAAACCAAAAGCTTCAGTTCCAACTGATGTACAGAAAGGCTAATGATTTCTCCTTGCCTGAATTGGCGTTGTGTACTGGAAAAGTCTTGAGAGTGTTTATAACTCTTGTGTTTAAAACTCAACATTCAGCTCTAAGTATTCATTTGAAAGTGAGAGTGGTCAAATCTCCAGAAGCTTGTTTTGCATACAAGTGCTCATATTTACATCTGTTTAGAGCTTCAGAGTTTAAAACAACAGGTTGTTGCCTTGGCAGTATAAGTATATTGCAGCGTATTTCAAGGCATTGAGATGCATTATTTACTTAATTACAATGCTTGATCCTTTAAAAAAGTGAACATTTAACTGAAGACTTAGATACCTAGATTTGTTCAGTGTCCGTATGAAGTCTGCTGTAGAATTTTCTAATATCCTTAGCAGTTTATTTCCACACCTGTACTTGACATTACTGTGTTGGAGGGGAAGCTTGGTAAAAGGTCCACCAGGTCTTGGGAAAGAGAAGCCTTTGTGCCCAAGATATGTAGATGTCATTCCAGAGCTCTTACTGGACTTGTAGCAGAATTGTCACCTGAGAACAGTAGAGGAAGTTCTTTTGGTGCTCTGAAATTCTTTGTCTTGAGTCAGGCACCAGAGCATTTGAACTTGAATATTCTTATGCTACTGTTTTTAGATAATATTTGCCTGTACTTTTTTAATCTTGAAGACCTTAAATGGAGAGGCAGCCATCCTTATTAACACTGCTGATAGTTACAGGTGTGTAGTTGTGATTATCTGAAGATTCTAAATTTTTAAGCATGTCTTAAAGAACTAGAGCTGGGCAGACGTGTGGCAGGAGTAACCCAGAAATGCACTGCTGAGTAATTGGAAATTTCACTATTTCTGGTTGTCACTTCTGATGCATTGAGGGACATTTTAATGAAGAACATCTGGCACTTGCTGTTATCCAAGTATCATGAGTTGTTTTTTCAGTAAGATGTGAAAACAAGGGACTGACATCTTACTGGGAACAACCAACAGGATTGCTGTAATCACTCTTTTAAAACACCCTGGTGTTGTGCCATGCATGGACGAATTCAGTATCAGCTGATAATGGAGTAGACATTCAGTAACCTGTATCTAATTTGCTTTTTGGTGCTTGGTGTTAGGCTTCAGAACTGAACTGCATAATTCAGATCTGTGGTGGTGAGGGCATGTGAAATGGTTATAAGTGTGTATTTTTGATGCCTTAGTTCTGCTTGAAGGAGATGAGATGGTAAAATGGGAGGACATGGGTGCAATATGTTCATATGCAAATCATATTAAACTCTTAATTGATATTCTTGATGACTCACTTTTTATTGAAGTTAATGCTTCAGAAGATAGTTATATGAGTCTTCTACACTTCAATATGAAATGCCAGAATTTCTTGAAGATGCCAGAATAAGGTGTGGGTGGGAAATAAAAATAATTTACCAACAGAACTGCCTGGAGTGTAATCACAAGTGGAACTTGTATAGAAAGAGTTACTTGCTGCAGTGACTACAGTAACACCAAAGGCTCTGTAGGCTGAAATATGAGAGCTTTCTTAATTTTGTGCTCTTAATTCTTACGCTTTCAAGTGTTATGGGTCAGGCTTTGAGATGAATTGCTCAAAAGTAGGCAGAGTCTTAGCAGACCTTTAGGATTTGAGTACAGCTGGATTATGGTTCACATAATTGCTAGTTGTAGTGATTTATACTGTGGCTTCTGTGTTTACTTACAGCTAATCTTACCCATCAGGAAGGCTCTACTTCAGTGATTTTAACTGTCTTTTGGAGACATATTTCATATTTCTATTAATTTTTAAACATTCATATTAAAAAGCTATCTGCTTGTGATTGTTATGGACTGAGTTTATTGATGTAAGGAAAATCTTGACGAAAAGTTATGGAAATTTGAGGTATGTTTGGAGGTAGAAAAGGAAGAATGTTTATTCACACACATGGTCATTAGCAGGAGTTTAAATAGAAAGAGGGAAGACCTAAAATGTGCTTAATGGAAACAAATCATAAGTCATTCTTCTAAATGAAAAATAGGTTAGTTCAGTCATTCACCTCATTCACTTGCATAGTTAAAATGTCCTTTTGTGAGGCAGTGTTCCAAACTGTGTTAAAATAGCCAAGGATAATATTTATAGTTCCTGTGCTGTGTTTCAGTAGGATAAACTCCTTCAGGAAATGAATTTGCAGAGTTTCCACACGTTAGGGAGGAGAGGGTGTTTTGGTTCTTGCATAGTTTTCCTTTGGCCTGGCCCACCAACAGTACCTGTTAAGTAATACAGATTTTCCTTCTGGGCTTTAAACTTGAAAGCAAAATATTTGTTTTGCTCCCATGCTAACTATGAGTTGTTATTATTCAAGAAACTTTGGTTAGTAAAATGTTGAGTCGTCTTTTTAAAGTTAACCCCAAAATCTCTCAGTTTGTAGCAGTTTGGCTATTCTGCACACCTAAGTTCATTTCTGTGAAAGCACCAACTAATGCTTTTTTTTTTTGTAGGGGGCAGAAGCCATGGTTCTGGAAAGTGTTATGTTTGCCATTCTTGCAGAGAGAGCTCTTGGCCCAAAGCTGTATGGAATCTTTCCACAAGGGCGACTGGAGGAATTCATTCCCGTAAGTCCTGTGCATGATTAGTCAGTGGGCTGCTGGTAGCTGTTTTAATTGATCATGACAGGAAGGTCTCTGGACTGCTCAGAAAATCAGGGATGTGGGAATGGAATACTTGGCAGCACGGAGTAATTGCTAGCTGTAATTTGATAGTTATAATGGGTGTTGGAGAGCCCAATTATAGCTCTTGCCAGGGAGAGATCTAAAAACTCTCCAGCTGAGACAGAGACTAATAAATGAAGACAAAGAGCCTGTTAGATACCAAACATAGCATTGGAAGCTGTGGAGTAACACTTTAACAATGACAAGAGCAGATCTTTTGATGTTCTTAAATATTTATGCCCAATCTACTTTGAATGTATTCTTAGTGTGATATGTGGTATTCCCCAAGTCCTGATCTAGAAGAGAATTAACTAAGTTATAAGTAAGCTGGGCTGGCTAATTTGGCTTTTCCAAAGAGGGCAATTTTTGTAAGTTCATTTGGGATGAAAAATATATTGCTTGAGTACTATGCTAGTATTTTATACCATACTACATAGAGACTAACGCTGGTGTTTGTAATTAATCACAACTTTTAAATTAACTATTTTAAGAATACTATATTTTATTACAGAGCAGGAAACTAAGTACTGAAGAACTAAGCTTACCTGACATATCTGCTGAAATAGCTGAGAAGATGGCTAGATTTCATGGCATGAAAATGCCATTTAATAAAGAACCTAAGTGGCTTTTTGGAACAATGGAAAAGTAAGTTATGTAATACTTTAAAGTATGGAAAAAAGGTGACCTGCTGTAATTTTGATAAGCAGATTGTTCTTCCTGAATGCCTGAGAGCACAAGCTCTCACTGTATCCAGGAACTGTTTCATAGTTACCTGAGGAACTTAAATGACCTTGAAGAATAGTAATGCTTTCTTTAGTAGCTTTTTTTAACTTTCTTGATTTTAGTTTAAATGGTATCTTAGTATGGGAAGACTAACATACTTAGTCACAAACGCTGTACTATTGTCTCTGTTCTTAACAGATATCTAAATCAAGTGCTGAGGATTAAATTTACCAGAGAATCCAGAACTAGAAAACTGAACAAACTCCTCAGTTACAATCTCCCCCAGGAAATGAAAAATCTAAGGTAGGCTTGTCTGCCACTGCCTTCCAATTTGCACAGTTTCAGTCTGAATTTGTGTACTTGTTCAGACACATTATACAGTATAATACCCTATATTCATTTTACTTTACAAGCTGAGGATTGGTTTTGGTTCTGTAACCAACCTGAGTCTCATATGACTAAAGTGGTATGATCAGTTGCTGATCTGACTTGCTGATCAGTGAAGACCAGCTTAGTTGTCCTGATCTTGGACTTCTAAATGAGAAAATAGGGTCTTGCTAGAAATGAATAGTGCTTTGAATTCTTACAACAAAATCCATTCTTTACTTGGGAGTGGAACTGAACTTAGTGATTTGTTACTTACAAGATACTGTTGTTTTCTAGAGCTATGCTTGAAGCTACCTTCTCACCGGTTGTATTTTGCCACAATGACTGTCAAGAAGGTAAGCTGCTGATATTTCATGACCTTGTTCAGTGATGCAGTATTAAAGCCTTTTCTGGTCACTTGTTTGCTTTCTGAGAGACAGTCATGTTACCAGGGCACTGCGCAGGCAGCTGACCTGAACCAGCAGCCTGTGTACTCCCAGTGTGCAACAGCTGCAACTCAAAGTGCACTGGCTTCAGCAGCCCTTCAGGCTGGTAACGCCTGCTATCAGAACTGAATTAAGCCAAACGTGTACGCATGCTCTGTTAATACAGCTCAGAAGTGCTGGGAGCGTTGGGTACTTTAAGACCATTTCTTAGCTGTCTGTAATACATAAATGATCAGGGCAGGTTATACTTTAGTCCTTTTGAAAGAAAGCTACTGGAAAAGTACAGTGAATGGTGAAAATGGAGGCTAGGGTAGTTTGACTTGGCAGTTCTCAGCTTCTACTGGTAAGAAACATTGGGAAAAACCTTATCCACCTTTTTAGTGCTCTTTGAGTCATGGAGGGAATACGCTTTTGAGCCAGTTGTCTAGAGAGGTGTTGGGTTTGCTGTGTTCGTGCTCCCTGTCCCCTGTACAGTGGGCATGCTGGGCTGAGCTGGAAGGTGCTACACTGGGACCATATGCAGGGCTGTTCTGTTCTTGGCAGTCCCAGCCTTTGTTAGACAAGGCTGAGGAATCGACCTGGAAGGGAATTACTCTGAAGGATAGGCACATAAAGATAGAGAGCACAAGGGGAAAAAGCCACTGATCTGAGCTCTGAAGAGCTAGCTCAACAGAGGAGTTCGATGTCTCAGTGCTGGTGTGGCAAGGTGCAGTACTGGAGGAGGTGGAGCATGCTGGGGCAAGCTTTGGAACCTAAATTTCCAAGGTGGGAGTGGTGAAATACTGACCTTGTTCTGTTGGTGCAAGGGTATGGCATAGAGAAAAGATGTACCTGTGGAAAGGGAACAAACTATTGCAGAAATTAAAACTACTCTTAAATTTATTTACTAGTTGACACTTGGCAGACAGATTTGATGTCTTTCAAGTCAATCATAGTGAGAAAGTAAATTGAAAGATAAAACAGTTTCCCTGCTATAAAGGAAAAGGCTAAGCTGCTCTATAGGTACTGGTCATGGCACATATTAAATAGCAGTGATCAGTCTGGTTTTCAGGCTGCTGAAAAGCAATTCCTGTCCCAAGTGTAGTGTGACCTGTGGTAGTGCCATGCAGGTGTGAGATTGCTGCATAATTCAGATCCTGAGCTGTGGAAAGAAACAGTTCAGCAAGGCTGCTGGGGCTGACTCTGTCACCTGAGTTAGCTGCCAGCCCAACACTAGAAAAGCAGGATCATTGGGAGAACAAATCTACCTCTGCTTTATAAGGTTTATAGTATATATCTCGGCCTCAAATGAGCTTGTACACAGCCAGTGCAGCTTGGCTTTTCCTGTCATTTGTCTGCACAGATGTAAGGGATAACTGGGATTGTGAACAACAATTAAGGTACATTATTGCTTTTCTGCAGTTTTCCTAGGACTTCATTGAATATGCTGTATTATCTTAAAATTTTCAGGTAATGTCTTGCTTCTGGAAGGCAGAGAGAATTCAGAAAACCAAAAGCTGATGCTCATTGACTTTGAATACAGCAGCTATAATTACCGGTAAGTCACTTTATTTTCTATTCAGCAGGAAGGTGTATGACTTTCACTGTAGCATGTAGAAAGTGCTGCACTGCTGATTGTTATAGTGAATTGTGTTCTGCTCTATTAGTGGTGGACAGCAAATATAACTAGTCACTAACAGCTCTGGTCTTGATGGTGTTGAGTATAAGCATACAGCAGTTCAAGTTGCTGGAGCTCCTTGTCCAGACTAGAGGGCTTCTTTGTGCACAAATGGTTCCTGCTTTGCATGTCAAAATTTCTTTCTAGTGAGGAGATAAGGGGAATGGTGGACTGTGTGTAATTATGTATATAGGGCAGGTTTGCTTTTGCACTTTCATCAGCTGTTTAAATGGCTTTCTCATCTGTGCAGATGAGAGTAATCCTAGGTTTTTCACTACATGGTTACACAAAATGCTTTCTGTTCTTACCTTAGTCACATAGTCCCTGTGTTTAAGGATGATCTAAGTGTGTGGAGTCACTGGGATCATTAAACATTGGCATAGCTGGAACATAATGGAACCCTGAATTCCAGTAATGTAAAAGTGGGATATGTTAAATACTTTGAGTATGACCTTTTTGCCTGCAATAATGCTAGTATTAGAGATGTGTTTGACTTTTGTGATGAGATGTAGTGTATAGTCAAGTATTTTTAACTGTCTTCATTGGTATAAAACTTGCTAGCAAAGCTAGTATATTCATGTAGCTGGTAGCTTTCATTCTTAACTGCCTATCTTTACTAATTGATTTTAATAACTTGTAAAATTCTATTCTAGTCACCAATTCTCTCCTCTAGCAAAACTGCAGTAAGTTCTAAGTAGCCTTGTGCTTTTAAACTGGATTTTGGATTTGCTTAAGCAAAAAGATTGTGAGTTAGGCAAATGTTGAGGTACTCAGTCTTTATCTCTTTCTTTTTTCAGAGGATTTGACATTGGAAATCACTTCTGTGAATGGATGTATGATTACACATATGAGAAGTACCCATTCTTCAAAGCAAGTGTTCTTAGATATCCTTCAAAGAAGCAACAGGTAGGCATGTAAGACATGATCAGTAAAATGCCAGTGTTAGCCTTCAAATCTTAACTCCCTTTTCCAGTTCTGTTTTGGACTTAGTCTATGCCAAGAACCTTCCTCCGTGACTTCATCAAATGTAACACTTTCTGTAATCCTGTTGACCTTTGATTTGAAAATCATACTAAATATTCTACCCTGGATAGTTATTAGGAGGTCTGTGTGCCCTGTGTAGCTCTCCACCACAAAAAGTCCAATAGTTGTGGACTCAGCTGTGAAATTAGTTGGCAGTAGCAAAATGTTGTCTGTTGTCCTAATATTATGGCTTGTCTTAAACCAGACTTCCAAGCAATTAGAACCACCATTGATCTTAAAGCTAAGTCCAACACTGTTGATGTTTGTAAAAAATAAATGAGTATTAAAAGTCTTGCCTACTTCTGAAGGAAGCAAATGTCTGAGACAGAGTTGTAACTGTTGCTTGCTTGCCTTCCAGCTTCATTTTATCTCCAGTTACCTGTCTGCATTCCATGATGGCTTTGAAAATCTGAGCAATGAAGAGAAGTCCAAACTAGAAGAAGAAGTGTTGATAGAAGTTAACAGGTAACCTGCCTTCTACAGATGTATCTTGAAACACTGTGATACTTGTATACCTCACTGCCTGGAGAAACTTCAGCCCAGAGAGATTATAAGATATTTTTATGTGGTAAGGAAAAATCTGTCCACTGTAACCTTTAGCGATGTAATCTACGCTATTAGTGGAGTACACAAAATACTACTCCATGGGGAAGCTACTGGAATTATTTTTTTGTCATAGTGGAAGAAAAGGTGTGGACATCCACAAACTAGGCAATACTGTTCTAACAGGATATTGAAATAAGGCATGGTGACTTAGCTAGGTATTTCAATAAACAATTTTGTAATTTCAGGTTTGCCCTTGCATCGCACTTCTTCTGGGGTCTGTGGTCGATTATACAAGCAAAGATCTCATCCATTGAGTTTGGTTACCTGGTAAGTTATTTAATCATAGTTAACATAGAGACACTGTAGCCTAACGTGCCAGGCCTCGTTGTGAAGTATTCTGCAATAAGAGATAGTGTGCAGGAGGGAAGCTAGCATGCAGTCAGTGTGAATTCAGAAACTTGAGTAGTCAAAGTGCATGTGTAACAACACGTTGGTATTCGGTGTGCAAGAGTATCAATGCCAGGTAGCTGCTTGTACTTGAGAAACGGATCAGTCTAACTCGATACATGTTCCGTGTACTGTAAGGTGATCTAACTGTTGGGGATGCCAAATAGCCTGCAGGGAGTGATGTGGAAGCCATCCCTTTTAGTGAAACCCTAAACTTTTAGCTCCTGTTTTTTGACATGCTGGCAGCAGCTAATAGTGTTAGAGCTGAAATAAGATTGGAGGAAACTTTAAGGGGCCACACCACCTCTGGAGAGATTATCCTCCCAAACAGAACTCATTAATGCCATGAGATGGTGGATTAAGGAGGTAACACAGTTAATACCTTCATTATGGTTCCCCCTCTGAAATAAGAAAACCCAGCTGTGTTTTCTGTATTGAGCACTGACTGTCCCTTATTTCTTCAGGAATACGCATTATCCAGATTTGATGCGTACTTTGATCAGAAGAGGAAGCTGAAGGTGTGAATGTGGGAGGAGTGGCCTGTTGGTTACTGTACGAAGAGGGCAGCTGGACAGAACTTACACTGTGCTTAGGCTACTGTATCTCTAACGAAAGTGTCACTGGATTCCAGTTCCTTGGAATGCAGGTGTACAGTACTGAAGACTGTATAAAAATGACTTGTTTACAGTTTCGTAAATACTTGGAATGAGATTGGGAGGCAAACGTAAAACACAACAGTGCAATATCTTTAAATCTTTTTGATCTAGAAGGTATTTTGTATTATGGGAGAAGCTTACAATTAAGTGTCAATACCACATGCATCAGAGCAAACAGTGTTACTGTGAGTACATTTCCTAGGGGGGGTGTTGGTATTATGGTTTGTTGTAAGCGGTGCAGTTGTAAAAGGTGATTCACTGTAGACACTGCCTCTTAAGGAGGAGGAAAAGCGAAGGAGACAACTGTTAAACTGTGAAGTAGGCTTAAAATCTTACTGTGAGATTAGGTTCAACATGCCCCACGAACACTATCTTCAAAGCTGCTGATACGTTACACCACTTAACCATAAAGCAACTAAACATGCTGAAGCAGTTATGCCTTCAGGTGTTAACCTACACATACATGAATGTTTCTCTTAAGCTGGTGTGCCTGTGAAGTGAAGTATGAATGAACTTTGAACTGGACATTCTGAAGGAGTTTGTCTTGAACTGTTCATTCCATGTCCTTAAGAACATGCTTTAGCCCAGCCCGGTTGTCTCGCAACGCTGTCCCCTGCGCAGGGCGCTCTGTGGGCTGGCAGCACTGGGCAGAGTGCCTTGAATTGCTCTAGCAACTCCCCAGGTAACTGGATTGGCATTGACAATACTTGTAACTGGAGCCCACCTCTCTTGTGTTGCCACAGTGTATGGCTGTAAGAAACAGTAGAGCCAAAGACTGTGGAGAACACTTCAGGAAATTGCTGTTCTGCCCATCCAATGCTTAATGTGACTTGGGAGGTGCTTTTCTGGCACCTTCAGTTTTCATCATGTCCCAGCAATCCAGTAAAGTGGAGTGTCTTGTGGGGAACAATAATGTGTATATTGAAACTTGAGTATAATCTGTGTACATGTCATCTACAGATTTCTTTAGATTTTTGGGAGCTCATTTATTTTGAATGTTATTTGTTTGTGCTTTCTAACACACTGTATTATAAATAATAAACTTCTAAGTCTACCCTTTTTCACTTGTATAGCAAATACTGTTTCAAGCAGCTGAAAAAATGTGCAGCATTTCATGTATGGTATCACATAACTTGTAAGAGCTGTCATTTTATTCTCTAGTATAGAGAGTCATTTTCCATACACTCAATTATGAATACTTTATAATAAATATAAAGCACTTAAAAACATTATAGTTGATATTCTTAAGTCTTCATTATATCTGCAGATATAAAATGAATGTTATTTCTGTACTTGATCTATACTGGAAGTACTTGTGCTTCCCTTCAGAGGTGGACTAATTTAAGCTTTAGGCTCAATGAGCTACTTAAATGTCTCTTTAGCATTTATTGTGAAACTAAATACTGACAGCCAGTGTGGAAAGGTGCTTAAAGCAAGTGAGCAAAAGCAGACTGAAGAGTAGCAAGTCTATAGTTTTAAAGGTGGAAAAAGTTTAGGTTTAAGCACTTTATCTGTGCTGTTAACTACCCTAAAAAACAGGAAGTTACCAGCATATGCTGAGTTTCAGTGGCACAGCAGGTAAGAGTGTCTGGTGTGCTCAGCCAGGTGCCCTCTGGGCTACTGAAGGCTTCCTTTAGCAGGTCCCGTTGCTCACAATGCAGCGGGTGGGTGTGAAAGGGGTGGGAACAAATTTTGCAGTTCTGCAAAGAACTTTGCAGCTGTCTGAGAAGGACTGAGGTGGAAGAGCTGTCTTGAACTTACCCTTGGGATGCTAAAGGCTTCCTGTAGAATCCACTTCCTGTCTCTGAACTCATCTGTTGCCTTTCATGCTTCTCGAAACCCAAAAGGGAAGGAGACTGTCACAGTAGCACTAAATGCATTACAAGGTTGCATCAGAGGCGAAGCCCTTTCTTAGGGGTGAGGTGGCTTTTGTTAAATCCTGAGAGGAAACGAAGCTGTAAGGTTCCCTGGCAAGGCTGTTTTAGCCAATTCCCAGCACTCAGAGGTTGATTTACGAGGGGCCCTGAAGGAGGGCAGGGCTGCTCCATCTTGTGCCTTCTGTAATGCCCATTGCTGGTGGAGGGAGGGATTCCCCTGGGGTGCTGTGGCAGGCTCAGCAACCACAGGGGAGGCAAAACTAAGGAGTGGAGAGCACTCTCCCTGGTTGTTGGTTTGAGTTGTTTTTTTTTCAGATTCACCTATTCAGGGCAAGTTCTTCAAGTGTCCTTTGAGAACTTGCAGCAGACAGGAACTGGAGCACCATCTTCCCTTGCCCATAGTCACCAAGTGTTGAAGCTGACTTACCCACTGGATGAGCGGCTCTTTAAAGGTGTTGGCACTTCTGTCATGGGACAGGGGCTGGTCATAATGCTTAGTGTAATGTGGTTAAACGGTTCTTAGCTAACTTCAAAATAGTTATGGTCAATCTGATTTGCCTTTTGTAAAGGCAGTTTAAAACTACTTACTAATCCTACTTTCAGCTGATTTGGAAATACAACTTATGCTTGAGCTCTTCCTTTAAACTGCTGGGTTTTATTTCCACTTTGTGAGTCCTTGTCTTGGTGCCCACATTGCCTCAAGTCACTGGTGAAAGGACCTGCTATTAACTGATGAAAATGTGACTTTTGGCATAAGTGTTAAAAACCCAAACCCACAACAAAACTATCTTCTACTTTTAAAGGAAATTATCGCTTGCCTAGCCTGACAGCCAGGCTCAGCAGCTGTTTGGAGGTGCCACAGTGAGCAGAGTCTGGGGTGTACCCCATCACTTCTACAGCCCTTTCTCAAAGGCAAAAATCTGAATGTTCAGACCTGGGGAGAAATGTCATGCTACAGCTCCTTAAGGATCTAACCCTGTAAAACTCAGCCTGCACAGTCTTAGGGGCATATCAGATGTACTTGCTGTCCCTCTAACTCAGAAATAAGAGGTAGTTCTGGGCTGAACTGGATGTGATCTGTTCGTAAACTAAACATCTTTCATAGTGGTGATGCTGCTAAAATAAATGAAACATATTTTTGGAGTCGCTCTTCTCTTGATAAGGGAGAAAGTTTATTTCTAGCCCTACCCTCAGGCCGTGGCTCTGGAGTGGCTATGGTGAGCAGCAGGAGCAGCCTTTGCTCACTCTGGGTAGAACGTGACTCCTGGGCTTTCTGCCCCCTGCACACAGTTACTTGTCACAGTGGGAAGAAGCTGAGATTCCCAATATTTTGACCAGTTACTTTTTGAGAACTGTGTTGGTTTTCCACCGCTAGGCTTCTTCACTTCAGGGTCAGAAGGTACCTTGGGAAGTCCCCCAGCACTGCAGATACAGGAAATATTCCCCACGGCTCTTTGGCATTCCCTCTGCCGCGTCTTTGAGGTTCAATAGTGTTCTGAAAAGCAATTACCTGAAAATGTTACTTTGCACCTCAACTCCCTCCCTTTGTCTGTGTGCCGCAGAGTCTGCTAATGTCAGTAAGCCTTCCTGCTTTTTGCTCCCTATTAACTTGGCCGAGGTTGCACTACAGTTTAACTGGAATGAGCTGGGGTTCAGTCCTTCAGAGGGATGTAATTATTTCTCTGAGCTGATGATGGCTGTGGAAACCCCTCAAGGGGTTGCAGCCCTGTTGTCCAGGGACCTCATTCATCCTGCAGCTTGCTTACTAGACAATGGTGGGAATAAAGGACCTAGCTGAATCCTGCAAGAGTCTGTAGAACTGGGAACTAAAGAATGCATCCTCTGACTTGCAAATAGAGGAGAAGGCAAATAAATTAATTCCCAGAACGAGGAAAACTGACTGTCCTTAGCCCGAGTGCCAGCACCTCTTTACCCGCGATGCTGAGGGTCTCTGAGTTCAGCTGGCGCGTAATGCTGTGTTAACTCACAGCCACTGAACTTGCTGATGCTACAAGACACCAGTTTGTGTTCTCTGCAGACCACGTCTTCAGCAAGTCACTGCAGCGTTCCGGGGTTAGTAAGATCACAAGTCCAGCAGCCAGAAGTCAACAAATCCCGCTGCTGTCCCACCACAATTCAGCTCCCTGGTGAGCTCCTGCCAGGGCAGGGAGCTGCCAGCAGCCACCAGGCAGCACAGCACAGCCCTGCCTTGTTCCATTAGCTCTCAGAAAAGCAGGTAGGTGGAAGAGGCACTTTGCTGTGCCTTACAAAGACAACGAGGCTTTTAAGAATTCAGATCCTCCCTTGAAAGGTTCTAGCGGTGACCTTGGGTGAGCTCCCTCCACACGCGGGCGGGATTGTCTCTTATGCCAGCCTGGGTCCACGTGAAGCAGCAAGTGGAGCACTTCAGTGGAGAGGAATAAATGGCCGCAATGGTTCTGGACTGAAATAAAATACAGCATGCACTTACAGGGCCCTGGCAGGGAGGAAAAAGGAGCTACTGTACTTGGTACCTAGGCAACAACGCTGCTCACCGGCAAACAGGCTACTTGGTTTTTTCCACAAGTGAAATTCACTTTTTATGGCTTTCATTTTCAAAGTGTGCAGAGCTCCTACTGACTCAGCATTAAGTGCAACTGCATTGTAATGTGCAAAGCTGTATCTGTGTGTATGATTTGTATTTACCAGTCATTAAATTAGGATCAGCCAATAAAGTCTGAATGCAGACCAACCTGTCTTTCACAAATAGACTGAAGCCAGCCTTAGGAGAAAGCATCCTGAGCAGAAGGCAGTGGGAGTCTTGGAGCAGTGTAGCACTGACGTGCTTGTCTGAGGAATGGTGCTTGGAAAGGCAGGAGGGAAAGGGAGGGTGAGGGATTTGTGACAGGTCACGGCCGGGCTCTGGCAGGGCCAGCAACAGCACGCAGCAGCTGAGTTCCAGCCCAGTGTGCTGGACTAAACATCTTCCCAGAAAGCCTTACAAACACTGCCTCCACTGCCAGCCCTAGGGAATGTTATTTTTATTCGTTGTTCCTTTCTTATGAAAATGAAAAAACAACTCAAGAATTAGTCATCCTTCCTAATTTTCAAAGCCCACAGCTTTTGAGGTGCTGTAAAGTCAGGACTGGCAAGTGCTGTCTCCGGTGGTCCAGTGGCAGGGCTCAGGAGCTCAGGACCGAGGGCAGGGCATCCATGAGAAGTTCACAGTTCCCACCAAGTCAGGAAAACCCCAGAGCCAAAAGGTACAGCCTTGAACAGTGTCGCAATACTAGCAGTTGTCTGTGTCCTGCCTTGGAGGCACAGATCTTCCCACCTAGCAGGACACTTCACCTCTGCTTGGGTAGAGAAGCAGCACTGCCTGCCATCATCTCAGACATTTGTTGGTCTCTGCTCTGGTGTTTGTGATCTGGAAACTCTCTGAGTTTCCTCTGCATGTGGGTTTTTCTCCTTCCATTGCATTTCCTCCTACAGCCTGTGAGGAAGCTACCATGCTGTATTTCTCCTGACTGTATACTGAAAGAAAGGGCACTGCAGCTTCTGTGTTAAAAACCGGAAATCTTTCATGCTGAATAATCCCACCGAGCCCATGTTCTTGCTGCATCTGACTGAATCACGGTACACTGGAAGTCAGCAGAGACTGGCCCTATGAGCCTATTGCAGACGTAAATAAAGAGAACAAGGAATGGAAAGGAGGAAGGAAGCCTGTTGTAATTACCCAACACAAAGCTATTAAATAATACAATAATTTCCTCAGGAAGAGATTATAGAGGATTTTGTGTAAAGTCTTAGGTCTGAAGGGCTTAAAAATTCACCTTAGAATGAAAGTCTAATTAGGAGGCTACAGCTGCAAAGAAAAAAATGGTTATTTCATAAATCCCTCAGTAGAGTTGTTTGGAAAAATACTGGTTTCTCTTTAGGAATGAAATAGGTCAAACCATTCATTTACATTGAATTAAGTTTTGGATGAAGACTCAAAGACTCTAACTACAGGTTTTTGAAACTCACTCTGAGGTCTTTTCATTCCAGTTTGAAAGGTTGAACAACCTAAAGTAAAATGAAAACTTTCCATAACATCTTCATTTGTTTTTCCTCTCTGTCTTCTCCCAACTACTTTTGATTTTTTTATATATATTTTGCTAGGTTTATTTTAAAATATGAAGGCTTTTATGGAATATTTATATAAATAGGTATTTGTACACTTATAAAAGTACTGAGTAGCTGACAGATAATGATGTTTCCCAAGAAGCAGGTGGATCTCACAGTAACAGTCCTTTCTACTGTTCAATTTAATCAAAAGAAGACAAAATAAGAAATATGAAGTCATACCTAAGCAGCAGTTTCCATAGCTGCAT